CAACTGGTGCCAAGAGTGTTGATTGTGGAGCCAAACAAGCTGTAATTGTTAACAATCTCAATCTCTTCTCTATCTATCATGGTGCTGCTAATTGGCCCAGTGGTGAGAATCTTTGTTTTCTTTCCTTTCTTTTTTTTTTTTTTTTTTGTGGTGAATTAGTTGCATTTTATTGGTTTGAGAATCTTTGTTTTCTTGATGTTGAGCTTCAATCCATACTGAAGGCTGCAATCCTTGACCTTCTAGAGCAAGTGCTTCAGGTCCTCCTCAGTTCAGCAAACAAGGTTGTGTCATCTGCATAACAAAAGTTGTTGATGAATCTTCCTCCAGTCCTGATGCCACATTCTTCCTCATAAAGGCCAGTCTCCTAAATGATCTATTCTGCATATAGATAGAAAAGGTATGGAGACAGGCTGCATCTCTAACACACTCCTTTCCTGATTTTGAAGTGTGCAGTGTTTTCCTGCACTGTTCTGAGAACTGCTTCCTGGTCCAGGTAAAGGTTTCGCATAAGCACAATCTAGTGTTCTGGGATTCTCATTTTCCTCAGGGTTAGCCACAATTTGCTGTCATCCACACAGTCAACTGCCTTCGTGTAGTCAATGATAGTCACAGATAGACATTCCTCTGGTACTCTGCTTTCTGCCCAGATCCATTTGGCATTGGCAATAACGTATCTAGTGCCACAACCTTTTCTATTTCTGGTATTTCTCTGTCAATGTACTTATCATTACTACTAATAGAATTTTAAATATATTTTTATTGTAATTTGTTTTACCATATTTCCTCATAGGAATACATGAGCATTTTTCATAGCAGCCCATGTTGACTGTTACATGTATATAACAATCTGTACATGTGACAAATGCCTTGCATATTAATTATGCAAATGAAATGCCCTGTAAAATTAGTTTTGAAGTATGTAAAATTTACATAAGAATTTAATGTTAAGGCGCGCTCTGGTGGCCTAATGGCAGGAAACTGCACTGCAATCCCAGAGGTGTGTGGTTCAAATCCACCAGATGCTCTGCTGAGAAGGAAGAAAAATCGCCTCCTGTACCAGTCAGATCCAATTTGCCGGTACACACATAAAATAAATAAATAAATACATAAATGTTGTTGTTGTTGTTGTTGTTGTTATGTGCCGTCGAGTCTCCTGCGACTCATAGCGACCCTATGTACAACAGCCCTAAACTCCGCTCTGTCCTGTGCCAATCGCACTGTCTCTGATACTCCCATCCCAATGATCCCAGTC